TTAAGAAAGAACAATAGAGAAGGGAGGATAAGGGATAAAAAATTCAAAAAAAAAATAATTTACTAATATAGAGAGGGATTTACAATATATATATATATATATATATATATATATATAAACAAAGATAATATAAGAGATGAAATGTCAAATGGACACAAAAATGTAATGAAAGTGTAAAATAATGTGAAAAAGATATTAATTTAAGAAAGAGAAATAAGAAGAGATATGTACACTATGTTTAGCTTAAAATAAAATGCATAATAATAACATAAGTGTACGATGACAAAACAAACTAGAAAATTGAAGGTGTTTCATAGAAAGACATAGATGTATGGTTTTAGTGTAAGAAATTGAAAAAAGTATAATATTTGAATAAATAGGGAGATGAGGTAATTAAGGTGGAGATGACAAGGGAGAGAAAGAATAATAATATCAAACAATTTATTAATAGATAGAGAGAAAAATTAGAAATCTAATTTTCCCAATACCCTTCCACCTAACTTAATATTCTAACATGAAAATTTTAATTTGAAACCTCAAACTTTAAATCAGTTGAGCTACCTCTTTAAGGCATTTTTCATAATTTATTTGAGTGATGCTTAGGGTGACGGTCCCTATAGTTTTTTTATTTTATTTTTTAACATTTTAAACTCTATTTTTTACTTTTGTCTTTTAATTTTTAATATATTAAAATATTAAATCCTAAATCTCAAAATATTAAATCTTAAACCTTGAATATTGAATCTTAAAATAATCTAAAACTTAACACCTTAAATACTAAACCTTAAAAACCTTTAAACCTTAACACTTTAAGCACTAAATTCTAAAATGTTTAAACGTTAATTTTCCTTAAAATTAAATTATAAAAATATTTAAACCTGAACATTCTAAACACTTTTAAAATTTAAATCTTAACATGCTAGGATCAAACTCTAAACTTCTAAAAAACTTAGATGATAAAATTATAATAATAAGAGATTAAAGGACTAAAATAATTTTAATCTACTTAATGTAGGTACCAACGAAATAATTTAGTCATAAAACAAATGGAGAAAATGGATGGACGGATGTTTGCAAGTATTTTGGTCTTCAATTGGCTTGAGGGGGTTCGACGCCTTAAGCATTATTAATTTATTAATTAGTAATAAATTATGAAAA